GGGTTCCGCGCAGGCAGGGGGAGGGTACCGCTGCTACCTCTGCGGGTCTGCCCGGTGCTGCTGTCTGCTGACTGGTGCCACTGGCATCAGCAGGAGCTTGAGTCCAGCAGGTCCGGGGTGCAGGAGCAGGTCCTTTGCCTGGGGGCTCCTGTGGGTGCTGTCACCTCTCCTGGCACACTTGCTGCAGAGGCTGGGGACACCGGCCTGATGCCATGGGGGGAACCAGCTCTGGGGTTTTGTGCTTTCGTGGGCTCCCTTTCGTGGCAGCGGGTTGGGTTGAGTTGGGTGCTGGGCTTTAAACATGCTGCTGAAGAACTTCAGAGAAAATGTAGCACGATTCACAGTAGGAATGCCCCAAACTGATACAATAATGAAACCCCCAGAGGGCTCCAGGGGAGTGTGGCACCTCTGCCAACAGTCTTGGGCTGTGGGCTGTTTGGGGACTGCGGGTTCCTCACCATCCCTCCATTGGTTCGTGTTTCTGGTGCAGCATTTGTGGAGACGGGCTGGTGGGCTGCTCGTGCTGCAGATCCGTTGCACCGTGGGAGTCCCTGCAAGGAGAAGATCCTTTTCTTGGTTTTTAGCTTTCTTCCCATTACAAAGAGGAACCAGAACTCCATATGGCAGTGGGAAGCCTGGCTGGGTCGGGTCCGTGCTGAACCCCATGGAGATGCTGCAGGTGGGATTGTGCTCAGGGACCTGCCCTGGCCCAGCAGCTCCTGTTTGCTGCAGCAGCTGCAGTCCCGATAGCAAAGAGTTAAAGAGTCTGGCTCAAAATTGCAGATCACTTTCATGGTTGCTCATTGATGAGGAATTTTTAATCAGTGAGTGCCATGTAATAGAACACAACAGCTGAAATATGCTTTGGGAAAAGCTCATCATTGAAAGTGTGTTTTTAAATTGGTAATATAATGTTTATAAGGGGAGCTTTTTAATAACACCTTTTAAACCTCACTAATGCCAATTGCAAGGCTGGCTTTATTCTTGAGGCAAGTGCAGAGAAAGCATTGGGGCATTTTCTCCATCTTGACACAAGAATAAGGAATTTAATTACAACCAGCTATAAAATGGAAAATCCTTCACAGTGATGAATGGCTGTTGCTGTGTAGTGACAACAGGAGTTTGTGTCTGGCCGTTTACCGAATAATGGCAAATGGGATGTGCCCAAGGATGGACTCAAAGGAGTGAAATGTTAGAACTGGTGGTGGTGAGTGTTTGCTGTCACTGCTGTTGTGCTGATCTTGCTTTATCATCACGTGGGTAGGGGCTGCTTTGAAGCTGACAGCTACATGTAAAGGAGGACAATCAGATAGAGGGAGCAAAAGCAAACCCACATTGGAGTTTGCTTAATTTGATATTAATTTGGGTTTGACATTAATTTGGTCTCTGCTCCTTAAAGAAATGGGATGTTTAAGGTGATGGGACTCCATCACTGCCCTTGCTCCCTGTCACTGTTCCCACCTGCATCTCTGGCAGCAGCCGCTCTGCGCAGCGCAGTGGTGGCCACTGCAGGGGGCTGTGGTCAGAGCTGGGGCTCAGGCCCTTGGTGCTCTGCAGGTGCTGCCAAGCAAAGGACTTGCTCTTGGCATCAAACTCAGGCAAAACTTCCCAAGTGTCAAGAGTTGTGGTTGGATTCACGTGAAGATGAGGGAATCCATGATTCCTTCCTGGGGTAGATCCGCTTCCCCCACATCAGGGTTTACCAGCGCTTCAAGTGATGCTCTTCTGGAATTTTTTTAAGTTCATAGAAGTGAAAAATAAACCAGTTTCGAAGTTCCTTACACTGCAGAGTAAAAGTTGCCCGGGCAACCGAGGCTGCCAATTTCTTAACACTAAAAAAAGAAACCCTACAATCATCACTGCACAGACATAAGGAGCAGGGTCTGTGCTAAAGTTTGTTGCTTGGAAAAGAGCAGTCTCGGGGTGCATGTGTCTGTTGAGCTGGCAGGAATCACGCTGCCTGCCTGGGTACGTGTGGGTTGTGCTCAAATCAAGTCTCACCAGCTTTGGGTGGCGAGAGCCGAGCTGCTTGTACAGAGCAGAGAGCCAGACCTGAGGTGTCTGCCCCTTGCCTTCTTCAGGGGTTTGCTGCTCCCAGCGCTCTCTGAGCAGGTGGGAAAACAGAAACACGGGTAATTCCAGTGACTGTTCCACCACGTAGAACCAGGATTAGTATGTCATGAACCAGGTTAAGGGGAGGAGTTTGCAGCAGGCAGCTGCAGGCGTGATGCTCGCTGCTTCCCTGGTTGAACAGGCTGGAGCTGGCAGCGATGCTGGGTGCAGGAGGAGGAAGGAGTGCTGGCGCCACGGGGTTGTTGTAGGCTGTGGGAGCACAGGTCCTCGTCCTCACTAAGCCCATGACATAACGCGAGTCAGGAGGAGACGCGGCTGGAGTGGTGTTTGTAATTGTTTCACATTCAGATAGTTTTAAGCCAGGTAAACTTTGACATCACACAAGTTTTCGTCTCTCTGGAGGTGTTCTCTGCCTGGGAGTAGGCAGGTGAGCAAAGTCAGAGTGACTCAGGTTTGGCTGTCACTGTGGACTTTCTACT